GCTCCCAACATTTGCCTACTGACGAAGAGATTCAACGAAATGTCAAAATTGATTGCTTCCGAGGTTGTTAGGCGTAGGAGTGTGTCAGGGAGAGTTACAGTGATCGAAAAATGGATTGCAATCGCAGATTGCAACAGAACTTTACGCAATTACAATGGTGTATTACAAATTTGTGCAGCTCTTTCGAGCAGTAGTATTTTCAGATTAAAGAGGACTTGGAATAAAGTTCCAGAAGCGGTAAATAAAACTGACGTTAATACGAACATCTAGAGTAGTATCAACCCTTGGAGAACGGTGTTGGATTGATTTAATTTACTCATGTTTCACTTATTCATATCCCGTGAAAAAAAATTTCACAGCTAAAAATATTAATTATTATGTACAAAAACATATGATAAAATAGTAAAAGAAATATGCGTATAAGTCGATCATGGAGTTTCGCGGAAAGTTTTAGATAATCGTGCTGATACTCCGAGGGTTAATGGAAAATAAACAGATATATAACAACGAATTATTTATTTATTTCACTTATAGACGACTCAAATGATGGAAGAACTGCAGGATATTGTGTCGTCGGATGGACGTTTCAAAAATTTGAAGGAAGCCTTACGCCGATGCGATTCACCTTGCATTCCTTATATAGGAATGTATCTGTCCGACCTTTCTTTCATCGAAGAGGGTACTCGAACTATGACCGAAGATGGCCTTTTAAACTTTTCTAAAATGAGAATGGTAATGAAATAATTTCCTTTTTGGGATACATTATGTTAAAACTAAAAATATTTATTATTTCGTTGTTGTAAAAATTAATGGGAAAAGACCTGTAAAATACTACGATTCAATAGATTAGAAACGAATGAATTTGTAATTTGAGCCAATTTCTCAATACTGAACCTATTAACAGTTAAAGTATAAAACTTATGTCAGACAAATTAAATATGAAAAATTTATAGTACTATAGGACACAAGGTGTGGTGCTACAAAAATGTACCATTGCAAATCTATGAAGTTTCTACAAAAAATTATGAATTGATCATTTTGATCACTATGTAAAGTTTGCGAATTTTTTTTCATAAATAATTTCTAAATGAACAATTCCAATTTTTTTAAACGTGATTTTCAGTTTTTTATTTCAATTTCTTTTATGTCATGATGTTACAAAACTATATTATATTATAACCATATTATATCTATATTATAATAAATATAAAAGTTTCAAAATTTCTATATTTATTATAATATTATTATATTTGTTATATAGAATTATTATTCGTATAAATTCAAATAAATTCGTATAAAAATTCGCACTCTAGCGAAGATTTTCAAGTTTTACTTATTTCTAGATAGGTTGAGATAGCCTGACCTTTTGAATCCAATTTAATAATTCACTCGTTTGAAAATTCAAATTCTTCAATTTACTTCCAGATTGCGCACGTGATCCAAGAAATACGTCAACTACAACAAGGTTCATACAACATCGAACCGATTGCGAAGATTATGAATTATCTGTTGGATCCGTCGATGCAGATCGACGATGATACTTTATATAGGATGTCTTTGGAGATCGAACCGAGATCATCCAAGCCAAGTTCAAGCTTATTTCATTTGACATCCTCCGTCGCCCACAAATCAAAAAAATGAATTTGAGTATCAAACTATTTAAATCCACTTTAATTTATTTATTAAATTAATCGATACATAACCTATGTCATATCAATTCATGTGCAAAGCATGAATGTAAGCGATTAGAGCTACATTGGGACTTAATACATATAGACAGCTGTTATGCACTCCAGACATAACTTTGAAGCTATACTTATATATTTACTCTTCGTGAACGTTTAGTTAAGTTTAATGTTTCTTTTAATCACAATTTAAATTCAACGCTTAGTGCTAGTAATCTTCTTTCTTTTCCTTCTGTTTCTTTTTCTTTTTTAATTGTTTTCCTTATTATCTATCCCTCTTCTTTTCTTGCGTGATGAGTTATTTCTTCTTCTTCTTTTTCTCCAGGTTCTCTCACCATGTGCAAACTAGCTGTTATTATACATATTTGGTTTAATTTTGTCAATTTAAAGAAAAATATTTTTCTATAATCTCTCTTCACATATGTATTAAAAGTGATGTGTTTTCAAAACCTGTAATTCAGTTTTCCATAATTTCTAACTGAACAGGGGTCTCAAAAATTAATTATTGTTATATATTCTTATATCACTTCATATTTTATTTAAAAACGTCGATGCGAAGATATTTTAATTTTAGTTGTAAAAGCAGATGATGGAGGGGATTCTTCCTCTACAGTTCATAAAGAGCCACGTTTTGTTCGCGAGCCGCCAATTCGAAAGGCCTGATATAATTAATTTATATGTACTACATACATGTATATAATATCTTATAAAATTATGATATGAAGTTACAACATTATGCGATCCTGATTTAGAACAGGTCTAGGCAACTGGTGAATATTTGATTCTGGTGTGCATGACAGCTATTTTATACATGTATATTAAGTTCCAATGTAGTCACACAGGCTTCACATACGAACTGACCTGATGGGAGGATTGGTAGGGGTCGTAAAGCAATGGCGGGGAAATTGCCCAGATCTGTTCTATTATAATACGTTTTAGAACTTATCGATTCTAAAAATGTAAAAATTTATTTCTCCAAATGACTGTAAAATCAGTCAGAGTATATATTAACTCCTTGCATTGAGATTTTGTTTCCAATTTCCAATCTTGTTAACAGTAATTAATCGTGATACATCAAATATTGAAGCTTTATATATGCATAATTTGTATTTATTAATCTTTGTTGTCAAAGACTTGAAACTCAAGTTTCGAATTCAAATTCTACAATTTGATTATTTTTAATTGAAACCATAATTCGTACAATGTGCGTTCATATTACAAGACAAGGAGTTAATTTTTGTTTTTGAGGGAGGAAACTAAGAATCCGTCAGCTCTTTGTTTGGAAGAAGAATACTCCTTGAAATTTTATTTTTTATTCTTTTACGTGTGATTTATTAAATACAGTCAGTCGATATGAATGACACCGAGGTGAGAAACATTATCACTTTTCGATGATTACTTCTTAAACTAATCATGTTCCTTTGTCGATAATTGTAGCTTATTCAGATTGTACATTTACATTATATAAATTTGTAATGGGTAAATAATATTTAGTTATTGTACATACAGTGAAAAGCGTAATTGTACCAACGATAATGTTCATATGGCCACATTTTGGAAATTTTATATTGTCTCATTGCATTTCATCAATACATTATTAGAAAAGTACTAAATGAATTATTTGTAGCAATCATTATTAATATCGAGATCTTGAATTGGTGCTACATATAAACAGAACATATAAAATTTTTCCGAAGAATTTATCAACTATCAATACTTTTTAATCACATCATCAATCGCATTAAAGAAATAAAATTTTTCTATAAGTCATCGTATAGTCTATATTTATATTTGGAAAAATGTTACACATCCCCTGCTTTAAAATTTATCACACAAACCTATTAAAAAATAGTTATTGCATTTCAAAGGAGCTCTCTTTTTGCAGACTTCAATTTTGATTAGATTTAGTTAAAAAAAAAACTTTCCTGTGTCCGTTGACAGTTGAGTTCGCAGAATTTTCAAGGAAAAAAGTATCTTTATTTATCCTTTTTAAAATTACTGACCGAAAGTAGAATTTTTACTCTGCAAAATAAAGTTAAGATAGATTGTTGTGTGATTTTTTTTTCATGAATATATTTTTCTTTTTACATTTAAATTATCGAAAATTTTTCATTAAGTATAAAAAAAAAGAAATTAGTTAATATTTGTATTAACATACGCTTTTAAAAAACGACAATTTATATGCACGAATTCAATAAATATAATCTTTTTTAAAGGTTAATTGATTAAACTAAAAATGATTGAACTTTTGTATTTTCATCGAAATTTTCGCTTTCTATATTTCTAATCTTCCACAAATGTTCGAAATTCAATGAAATGCTGAAAAGAATCTACTACTCACGTGAGAGCTGAAAATCACGATGGGTGCTAAGTAGGCAATTTTTTTCAGCATTTTCTATGTCACTTTAAACATTGGTGGAAGATGATGAAATGTTAAGATCTCTTGAATATTTGTCGTTTAATCCTGATATTCAAAATGATGGAAAATAATGGTACCAGCAAGTTTTAAGGGTTGGTTGTAAAAAGAAAATTTAAATCTTCAAGGCCATAGTGGATTTTATCATGAAACGAATTAATTAATGCTTTTACATCCGAATGAATTTTTACAATTTTCTGAAAAAAAGATATTCTTACTTTTTCATTCGTTACACGATGTCAAATCATTTTAGGAGAAAACGAGTTTATGACCATCGAAGTACTTCACGCTTTAAAATCAGACCAAGTAGGTCATCATGTGATCCTGATCTCTTCTTACGAAGATACATCAGTATTATTCATCGAAAATTTTTCATTGTCACTGGTACAGTTGTGCAATGTCAGGCATGGACGAAAACTGACAAGACTACAAGAGCTCCCAACATTTACCTATTGACGAAGAAATTCGATGAAATGTCACAATCGAAATCACTTCCGAGAGTATCAGCGAGAGTGATCGAGAAATGAATTGCAGACAGCAACAGAACTTTACGCAATTACATAATAGTGGGTTATAGATTTTTGGAGTTTTCTCGAATAGCAGTGCTTTCAGATTAAAAACATCTTAACAAGTTTCACAAACAGTAAATAAAACTTATACGAATATCCATAGAGTAGTATTAATTATTGGACAATCGGGCTGGGTAATTTACTCGTGTTTTGTTTATTTATACATTTAGACAAAATTTCATGATTGGAAATAGTAATTATTATAAAAGCATACAGGCTGGGTCAAAATTCACTTTCTACTAAAATACATTCGCAATTTTTCAATTCTTTGTTTTCAACATTTGAAAGAAATAATTTTTAAAACATGATGAAAAAATCATGTTTGAATTTAAATTTAATTTCAAAATTAATAAAATTAGTTTTTCTCTTATATTTTAATGTTTTATTTAAAAAAATAGATGGGAAGAAACCACTCTGTAGTGTAAATGACAAAATAAATATGCATATGGGTTGATCCACAGGATTGTTGGATCAATGGGAAAAGGTTAATGGCAAATAAGTAAGTATAAATTCTGTATAAATTTACGATTTGTATTCATTACGTGTCGTGAGTAATCATTTCGATATGAAACGATAAATGTATATGAAGCTCACTCGTTCATTCATTTTTCACGTACACGCGCGAATACACAATAATAAATGGTAATTTAGACAGAATTAAATATCTATTATTGTTCTTCCGATATATGAACGCGAAGCATTAACCATAAATGCATTACTGCTATCACGAACGTTGCAAACGTAAAATTGAATAACGTTTTCGCTTAATGTCAGAACTGTAGATCATTAAAACTGATATCAGAGAAATGAGAATATAAAGAGTGGAAAAAAATTACTACATTACTTACGACACGTTACAAATACCAATCGTAAATAGGTCCAAACTTGAGAATTTTTTTCTTACGAATATGAATAAATTAAATCAACGCAGCACTCTCCGAATTATTCTAAGACTGTTCATGTCATTTTTATTTATTGCTTTCGAAATTTTGTTTCGAGTCTTTTTTGATTTAAATATACTTGTGCTTGAGAAAACAGCATAAGTTTTATTACACATTGCGATTGCAATCCATTTTTCGATCACTGTAACTCTCCCTGACACACGCCTAACAACCTCTCCTACGCCTAACAATCTCGGAAGCAGTCAATTTTGACATTTCGTTGAATCTCTTCGTCAGTAGGCAAATGTTGGGAGC